TGCTGAGTAATAAACACGCTGCAATGTTTCTGACACGGGACTACCACCCTCTGCACTGAATTGACATGCCATAATGTTTTATAATTTGAAATTTAAAAACAAGCTTGTGAGGTGTTTAGCACGCCTCAAGCCTTGTTTTAAAAATTTAGTTCCCTCTAAATTAATTGCGAGGTGAATTATTTAATAAATTCTATTTTTTATTTTTTTTATTAGATAAAACCATTGCGAGGTGTTTTCCATACAACAACAGTGATTATTTTGCTAGGTGAATTTCACCCAGCAAAATTATCTAGCTAATTTGAGTTTTTTTTGTAGTGAGATTTATTTTGGACACATTCCAACAAAGGTGCAGCTAATTAAAAGATCAACCATTCCATTTTTTGAAACCAACAAGTGCACATTCTATTATGGACAAGAGGAAGACATTCTTCATCTTTTCTTCCATTGCAATATTTTAACCTCTCTTTGGTTGCGGGCAATGCAACGGGTGGATAGAAGGTGGTGTGTGGTGGAGGATCCATGTCATTCTCTCTTGTTGTTCTTTCAAGCCTTCAAACGAAAAAACATGGAATAATATGGAGTGTACAATATAGTTGGCAACGATATGGTGCTTATGGAGGTTAAGGAATGAATGCATATTTGAGAAAGGGGAACGCGATGTTTCTATTGTACTTTTTAATATTCAAGTTGTTGTGAATCTTGTTGTGAATTACGAAAAAATTCAATATCAATTTGTGAGACAAAGAACAATAGCAACCAAAATAAAAGGTCTTCGATAATAATAATCCGTACACAGATAATATAACAGAATAAGGCAAGAAAAAATCGAAGATTTGTTTATCCAGTTCGATCAAACGATCTACTCTGGGGGAGAGAGCAGCTCTCCAATTCACTTTACTCAGAAAGTTGTTACAAGAGATTACAGATGAGTTACAAGAAAATAGCATTCGCCTTCAGGTTCCCAAGAACAACCGTATTTTCTACCCAAGTATTTCCCTACCTCTACAACTCTCAATATATGAATCACTCAAACCCAAGGTGTAATCCAAGGTTTTCTTTGTGCATAACTGAAACCATATGTTATACCTTTAAACCCTTGGTCTCCCTTATTGGTGAAAACTCTAAGATTTTCACACACCAAGCATATAAGAGAGACATATTTATAATATTAAATACCAAACAAAAAAAGCCCAAAGTCACATGGATCCATGGACTGAATCGAAAAAGCCTGAAAACTCGAAAACACTATTCATCGTATGAACAACACTATTCACCGTACAGACGTCACTATTCATCCGTGCGAATAATGTTATTCACCGTACAGACGTCACTATTCATTTCCCGAATATTTTTCTCGGCTTTTCGTCTGAATTTCTAAAATTTTCAATTTTCGCAGTAAATGCAATCTCCAAAATATGTTTTCTTTCTCTTCATCAACAAAGGTTTTAAGAAACATTTACAACAATCTCCACCTTGACTTTAAACCGTGTCGATACCAATTTAACAATCAACAACATTGATGCTCTCTACCAAGTTGAAACTTTAATCAATAACTTTGATCAAATTCAAGTAACCCTTGAATCTTGATCTCACAACTTGCACCTACTTGTTCCCAATTACCCTTTTCTGTCTATGTAATTTAACATGCCTACAAGTATGATTTTTCAACCACCCTTGACTCCACCTGTTTTCAAATGCCTCCCTAAAGGTTTTTCTTCTTTTATTTTGCAGTCCTTCAGCCACATTAAAAATATAATATCCAAGGCTAACATAAGCGTCCCTTTGAGATGCTACAATAACCCTCCTTACCTTATCATAAGTCAAATGATCATTAGAGGTCTCTGTAACCGTTTCTTCACTACTTCTAGCACCCATAGTAGAAAACTCCACCTCAAACTGAGTTTTCTCCGTTATAGTTTCTCCCAGGTTTCTCCATTGGTTTTCTCTATTCTTCTTCTGAAGAAATTCTCTACCAACCAAGTAAGATGTTTTAACCTCAGCTCTTCCCCAAAAACTCAATAACAACTCAGCGGTAACATGCATTTTTATCCCTTGATTTCTGCAAAATTCATTGTACTCCTCTGAAACTTTCTCAAGGCATTCATAACGCCTTAAACTTAAATTCTATAGCTCTTCCTTGTCATGAAAGCCTCCACTAGTTAACGATTAATGAATAATAACATTTGAACCTTTTAAAATATATAGACCACATATTTTAGACTCTTTAGCAATAATCAATTTATCATGTGAAATCTTCAACACTCCACGTTCAACTCTAGTACAATAGCCTAGATCATCAAACATACTTATAGATAATAAATTTCGCTTGAGTTCTAGAACATACCTCAAATTGTGAGTAAGAAGTTCGCGATCATTAAACATTTTAAATCTGACCATACTAATACCATGAACCTTGCATGCCTTATTATTACCAAGGCGAACTACTCGACCTTGCACCATCTTCAAAGTTTGAAAGTATTATATTCTTGGACACATGTGATTAGAGCAACCTGAGTCAATGACCCAACTATCTTCAGTTTCCAAACTCGATACTACTAGTGTTTCGGCATCCTCATGACTTTCCTTACCCAATGCAACTACAGCTTGAACAGAATCTTCATTGACCTTTCTTTCAGAACAATCCCTTTTAAAGTGATCGACTTTCTGACAATTAAAACATTTTATCTTTGACTTGTCAGACCTCTTTGATTTGGACATCCCTTTACGCTCACCTCCTCCTCTTAACACATTTAAGCCTTCACCATTATCTTTAATCTTCAAATCTTTCGATTTTAAAAATTCTTTGGATTTCACCGCCGTCTGGACTTCATCCAAAATAATAGTACCTTTCTTACCATAAAGAAAGGCATCCTTAAAGTGCTCAAAGGATTTGGGTAATGAACTCAATAGGAGCAAAGCATTATCCTCATCATCAATCTTCACTTCAATATATATTCTCAAGATCATCGATAATCTTGTGAAATTCTGTGAGCTGCTCAACTATGGATTTGTTCTCCACTATTCGGAATGAATAGATTTGTTGTTTCAGATACAACCTGTGAGGCAAAGACTTTGTCATATACAATGATTCAAAATTTTCCCACATAGCAACTGCAGTTTGCTCCCTGACGACTTCTCTTATAACTTTATCCCTGAGGCACAAGATAATGGGACTCCTGACCTTATCCACCATCTCGGTCTTCTGTACCTGCGTAAGTCCTGCAGGCATCAATGATTCACTCTTCAAAGTATCGATACACTTCTCTTGAATTAAAATTGCTTGCATCTTAATTTTTCACAACCCGAAGTCGTTGTTACTGGAAAATTTCTCGATCTGCCACCTACTAACCATGGTGCTCACTTGTTAATAATATCTCTTTGCTCCACGCTCACCACACCACTTGTTGTGAATCTTGTTGTGAATTACGACAAAATTCAATATCAATTGAGGAAAAGAACAATAGCAACCAAAATAAATGGTCTTCAGCAATAATAATTTGTACACATATAATATAACGGAATAAGGCAAGAAAAAACTGAAGGTTTATTTACCTACTTCGATCAAACGATCTACTCTGGGGGAGAGAGCAGCTATTCAATTCACTATACTTAGAAAGTTGTTACAAGAGATTACAGATGAGTTACAAGAAAATATCCTTCCCCTTCAGGTTCCCAAGAACAACCCTGAAAGCGTCTAAGAACAACTCTATTTTCTACCCAAGTGTTTTCCTACCTCTCCAACTCTCAATATATGAATCACTCAAACCCAAGGTGTAATCCAATGTTTTCTTTGTGTATAGCTGAAACCCTATGTTATACCTTTAAACCCTTGGTCTCCTTGTTGGTGAAAACTCTAAGATTGTCACACACCAAGCATATAAGAGATATATATTTATAATAGCAAATACCTAACAAACAAAGTCCAAAGTCACATGGATCCATGGACCGAATCGAAAAAGCCTGAAAACTCGAAAATACTATTCACCGTACGGACAATACTATTCACCGTACGGACGGTACTATTCACCGCCTCGATTTTTTTTACTCGACTTTTCGTCCAACTTTCGTGGTAAATGCAATCTCTAAAATATATTTTCTTTCTCTTCATCAACAAAGATTTTAAGACACATTTACAACACAAATTATTTCTTAGTTATTGTTGATACTTAACTCTAATAAGAGAAGAGATTGTAGCTTTTATGACTGGATCAAACATCCACTAGACCAATACTCTAATAAGAAGAGAAGAGATTGTAGCTTTTATGACTGGATCAAACATCCACTAGACCAATTATCGTATTATCGTAGAATGTTGAATTGTGTGAGGGAAAAGAACCCTTATACTCATTATCAATATACTTTTCGCTTATTAAAAAAAAATTATGAATGTAGCACAAACAGAAATTGGAAAAGCCTCGCAGTAACAAGTGGCATAATATGCATTCACAAAGTCATGCATACACTATACTATAGTTAATAAGCCATGAAAATTTCCAAAACATTTGGACAATAATGTGCCAAAGAAAATATTAATTATTATAATAATATCTTGTCCAAGTGGAAGGATTAATGCTTGTCACTAATTTTATTTTACAACGTCAATACTAATTCCTTTTAGTTTAGACCTTTCACCTATTAATAGCCCAAAGTCTTGGTTGAGAGAATATTATTATCCTTAAAAAGAAACAAAGGTTGTCCACCTTTTATGTTGCTAAATTTAGAATCACACCCTTAAAATTTTAAGGACTACCATTGTTCATTTAACCATTCCCAATTTTGTTCTCCATTAAATAACACAAACCAATGCTTACACTAAGATAAAACCACCTTGGTTTTGATTGACATTGGTATTAGCATTACCAAGGTCTTGTTAAATTTTTTGTTAAGAAATTTAACTAATATAAAGACCTTGGCCTTTATACAAGTAGAAAAGGAAAAAAAAATAGTTAAACACATTATTACATAGGAAGGGAGAAAATAAAAACACACAAAACATAAGCATGGGAAAATTAATGGTAGAAAGTTCTACAAAGATTGCATTTATTCTCTTGGTTATTGCCACCATTTATATTCCATGCACTGAGGCTGGAATTGGTGAGCTTGATGATTTTCTTAAAAACGAATCTGAAAAAGCCCATAAACTTGTTCTTGATTCTTATGTTCCAATTCCTGGAGAAGTTACAGATGACCTCAATTTCCATGTTCATTTGTAAGTATCTTCACACCAACTAATTTTTTTCCTTCAATTTTTATTAATTTACTATAAACATAGTAATCTAGGGTTTGATACATTAATTCATGCAGATTAATGGAAGGATTAAACAACACAAGGAGGGAATTAGGGCAAAAAGGTAAAAGAAAATCAGGACCATGTGAAGCAACCAACCCAATTGATAGTTGTTGGAGATGCCAACAAAATTGGGCTGAAAATAGATTTCAGTTAGCCAAATGTGGTAAAGGGTTTGGAAGAAGAGCAGTTGGTGGACTTGGAGGAAAAATTTATGTGGTAACTGATCCATCAGATAATGATATGGTAAACCCTAAAGTTGGAACCCTAAGACATGCTGTTCTCCAAAAGGGACCATTATGGATCACTTTCCAACGTAGTATGGTGATTAGATTGAACCAAGAATTGATGGTAACTTCAGATAAAACAATTGATGGTCGAGGTGCTAATGTTCAAATTATAGATGGTGCTGGAATTACAATGCAATTTGTTAACAATGTTATTATTCATGGACTTCATATGAAAAATATTCGATCTAAAAATGGTGGTATGATTAGAGATTCTTTTGATCATGTTGGACTAAGAACAAGAAGTGATGGTGATGCTATTTCTATTTTTGGATCTTCTAATATTTGGATTGATCATCTTTCACTATCTGAATGTGAAGATGGTCTTGTTGATGTTATTCAAGGCTCTACTGGTATCACAATCTCAAATTGTCACATGACAAAACATAATGATGTAAGTAACTTTACTTTCTTTAATAACTTCTTCTTGTTACATTTTTAATTAATAGGGAAAGTCATACTCGCTTTCTTAGGTCTATTAAAATAACACCGACAGACTCTTTAATATCTATCAAAATGATACACACAAAAACCATAGCTATATATGATATTTATCTATCGTTTTTAGTGACAGACAAAAACCGTAGTTATATATGACTCTTTAATATCTATCAAAATGATACACACAAAAACCATAGCTATATATGATATTTATCTATCGTTTTTAGTGACAGACAAAAACCGTAGTTATATATGATATTTATCTATCGTTTTTAGTGACAGTAAAAAATCGTAGCTATATATGATATTTATCTATCGTTTTTAATGACAGTAAAAAATTGTAGCTATATATGATATTTATTTATCATTTTTAATGACAGTCAAAAACCGTAGCTATATATAATATTTATCTATGACTTTTTGTCGGTTATTGGTATAAGTGAATTTTTTAAAACTACAAATGATGTCGGTGTCATTTTAACATACCTCAGAGAAGTTAGTGTAATTTTTCCTAATTATATTATGCTAACAAAAAATGAGAAATATTGCAGGTTATGTTATTTGGAGCAAGTGATTCATACAATGGTGACAAGATAATGCAAGTAACAGTAGCATTCAACCACTTTGGTCAAGGATTAATTCAAAGAATGCCAAGATGTAGATTTGGTTTTGTCCATGTTTTAAACAATGATTACACTCATTGGCTAATGTATGCAATAGGTGGAAGTTCAGGACCAACTATTCTTAGTCAAGGAAATCGTTTCATTGCACCATTCAATACTGCTGCAAAAGAAGTGACACATAGAGATTATGCTTCAAGTTCTGCTTGGAAAAATTGGCAATGGACTTCAGAAATGGATCTATTCATGAATGGTGCTACATTTGTTCCATCTGGTTCACCTATCAATACAGGTGTATTCAAAAAAGCGTTTATGATGAAACCACGACCTGGATCTTATGCTAGTAGACTAACAAGACATGCTGGTGCCTTAGACTGTAAAGTAGGAAAGCCTTGTTAGAAAGAAAAACATTATCTTTATGATGCTTTTCTTAATTACTTTTTAAAATATATATCTATATAAAACCGCACGCCCACACACGCGCACGAATAGCACAATTTTTTTTTTTATGTTTTGTTAAAAACATATATTTATTGTAGCATTGTTGCTGTGTGAAAGGGAGGTGAAGTCATTATTTAATTTAGATGTCAAGAAATAAAAAGAGATTGTTCTAACTTATTCTTAAATTTCGTTTTTGATTTATTGCTTATTTTAAATGTTGTGTTTTGTAGTCATTTAAGGTCTTCTTCATCATTGTGTTTCTGTGTTTGTCTTCTGTCACCGAGCTTCATACCTTCATCGTATTTTCTCTAGAATTAACAACCCACCTGCATCATGGAAAAAAATGAAGAAGTTAAATTTTGTCTCAAGTTTTTTTGTTTTATATCCCCATGGTAGGAATCTAACGCGTTTTTTTATAGTAGTTAGTGGTCTCATTTTTATGTTCATAAACTTAAATGGCATGTTGATGAGGAATTTTAAGGAATGAGTTGAGAGTGAGATGTTTACTACATGTCTTATATACAATTGGAGAATTTGATTAATGTTGGACAAGTGACTCCAAATAAAAGAATGGGGTGAATTATAGTATTCAAAATTTGCGATTAATTTCAAGTTTTTGTTACTTATGAAGCAAGTTCTGTTGGTGTTTTTAAGATTAGAATAAAAAGAAGAGGAAAGTAAAATTAATACAGTAAATATCATAAAATAAAAGACAAGGGCTAGAGAGATGGCATCAGAGAATTATTTAGGTTCGGTCAAACATTGACTTATTCCTATCGGTAAGAAACCTTTTTGATATTTGACTATAATATTTAGCTTTTATAGGTTATGCCCAAATACCTTTAAAACAAACATATTTATTTTACACTGGTTTATCCCTAACCAAAAGAAAGTCTTTCCTTAGACTAAGCGAACGAACTAATTAGAGATGTTACATACTGATCTCAATAACTAAATAAATTTTTTTTTCAAAATAAGTTCTAGAACCAAATAAAGATTTTAATACTGGTTAATCCCAAAATTAGTTCTAGAACAAAATAAGACAACTTTGGTGAAAAAAAAATATTTAGAGACACACAAAAGAGAGATAAATTGCAAATAATTAGAGAAATCCTAAATTCTAGTGTGAAATGAGGAAAGGGGATGCATCATTTATATAGGAAAAGATATAGATCAAAAAGGAAAAGATTCATTGGCCAATTAACTCATAAACTTTATTAGGTCCTAAGTTTAATCGATTAGGTGCCTCAAATAATCGATTATTTGTACCCAATTTGGAAATTTTGGATAGAGTTCTTACCAATCATTAAGACAACGTCATAATCGATTATATAACTGATTTTGCTTCATCCAATCGATTATTCTTAAGATCTAATCGATTAGGTAGTTCAAAAATTTCTTTTAATCAAGTTGTCAGTCTTATAATCAACTACTTAGTGCTTAAAAACATTTTTAGATGTTTTGTTTATGTAAAAGAAGGTTTTAAAAGATATGTGTGTGTGTGTGTGTGCACGCGCGTGTTTATGTGTGTGTGTGTGTGTGTGTGTGTGTGTGTGTGTGTGTGTGTGTGTGTGTGTGTGTGTGTGTGTGTGGAGTGAGGAGGGGCTCCCGCGCTTGTGTGTGTGTGTGTGTGTTTGTGTGTGTATGTGTCTTTGTGTGTGTGTGTGTGTGTGTGTGTGTGTGTGTGTGTTTGTGTGTGTATGTGTCTTTGTGTGTGTGTGTGTCTATGTGTCTGTGTGTGTGTGTGTTGTGTGTGTGTGTGTGTCTGTGTGTGTGTGTCTGTGTGTGTGTGAAGAAAAAGAAGAAGAAGAAGAAGAAGAAGATCCTAGAGGTAAATCCCTCACAAAGGCTACCACACTTGGGATAAGCGAGGAGAAAAAAGAGGCTAGCAAAAGCAAATTCCCCTATATTGCTTCCATTACAGGGGGCACCCTGGGAGAATCTCTTTTCCAAAGGGACATTGAAAAGGAAGATTGCATAGATGATGGTTATCTACTATATAAAAGGAAAGACGTCTGAAAAAAATCCTGACTGTCTTATGTTAGGGTTTCGGGACTAAAAAAATAGGAGGTATTCCGGATGAGATTTTCCCATCTATAGGGGAACCGAACACCATTAATGTTGATTTGGAAGGAAAAAAAACAATATATCAAGCTCTCCAAGAAGTTCAGGGATAAAACATAGCCATAATAAGCGGATAAATAAGCGGCAGTTACCCTTCCTGGTTATGTTATATGTTCCTTAATCATACTTGATGTTACGCCTAAGTCATTTACCATTTGAGTACTTATATTGGAGTATAATAGCAAGATAAATTGATGTTTAAGACATTATTTTTCCTTTTAAATGTGCATAGCAATAGGAAATCTGAGGTACTGCCAGAGACATTGATGCCAAACACACATAAAGTCAGGGGTGTTGTCAAAGATACTTTGTACGTCTGGCTAAAGCATCAATTTTCCACATAAAGTCAGGGGTGTTGTCAGAGATGCTTTGTACTTCTGAATAAAGTGATTGATTCCCCACATAAAGTTAGGAGTGTTATCAGAGACACTTTCTACGTCTGAATAAAGCAATCAATTTCCCACATAAAGTCATAAGTGATATCAGAGACGCTTTATATGTCCGACTAAAGCAATCCATTTCTCGTATAAATCCAGCGGTGTTTTTGGAGACGCTTTATACATCCAGCTAAAGAAATTAATTCCCCACATAAAGTTAGGGGTGCTTTTAAAGACGCTTTATACATCCAGCTAAACCAACAAATTCCCCACAAGCAATTAAGGCCTACCCCCGTCTAACAACTAACCAATCCAGATGTCGTGGTGGGTTGGCCATGCATCTACCTCTGGCCAGGTTTTCATCCGGTAGGGGGAAAGGGAGTCGGCCCTTGGCCATTAAATACCCCAATTACGTCCAATAAACTTTGAGGAAATACCTTGTAAGTTTATAAAGATCTGGAAACCTCAAAACAGGTATCAAAAACACATTACATTTATATCCCCTTTTTCATTGTCGCATAAATTTCCAATTAACGGCTAAAGAAGACCTCGTGACTTCCTAAAGACCAATGCTTTATATCCAGGATCAAACTAAATCTATTAAACGATGATGTTAAGTCGACCTCGAGGGAAAACTTTGTAATTCCATAAAATATGGTGTTATTTACTCTTGATCATACACAAAATACCTTAAACATGTAATAAAAAGCATCTCATGATGTATTTCCTACATACTTTTTCATTATGAAGTACTATCATATAAATACTATTAAAAAAGTTCTAGACTAGGATCCTGTTAGGCCTACTTCCACAGAAAGATGATATTCCCACCCACGACGGCTTGATCTGGCCAGATTTTCTCATTGAAAAATGTCAATGAGTATTGAAAATACTCTACTTAGTGTAAAGCATTTTCAAATGACATTGAAACCACCTCGGGTGGAACTCGTACAGTCAGTCATCTATCGAGTTAACAAAGCATTTTAGGAATGCAAGAACTCTATTTCCTGGTGAGCAATGCTCTAAATAATGGCTAATGCATGATCTTTCATCTCCATGGTCCTCACCAACTGAGCCATCTTTTCGGAAAGAGAGACAGTGAGCTTCAGGGTAAGCAAAGCATTCTTCACCTGGGAGAGAGAGAGATATAAGCTTCTTTTGCTTCATGCAGGTATCTATTTCTTTTAAGCTTCAGATCTCATATGTTATCTTTCATGTGTTTCTTCTTAAAACATTGCCAACCAGACCAAAAGGCCTCACAATGACCAGTTGCACCAAGAGCCAAAGCAGTCGAGGAACGCCGAGTGCACTTAGCTAGTTTCCCCATTTCTTCTTCCAGAACGGACCCAAAAAGTCTAGCCAGATAAGCAAATCCTCATTTAGAAGAGGGGATTGCAATTTTCAATAGAATGGGAGTTGGACCTCGCCAGTAAAGGACAGTAGTTCGACCGAGGATACTTGCTGAAATCAGAAGATTCTATGCAACAACATTATTTTTTATCAACTATACTCCTCAACTTAGAAGCTGGAATTGTTCTTCATTGCTCATGTATTCTACATAATAATGAATAAAACTAATACATTTGAAGCAGTCATGGTAAAAATACCATAAAACTAAAAAAAATTGTAGCTTACTAAAGATGGTTCTTCTCTCTTCTAGAGAGTGGGATCTTATCAATAGCGAAATACCAAAAAGACACTTTAAACGTTCCTTATCAACTTGGGCAACCGTGGGAGCTTCTCTTAGATATCCTAGATTATTGGTGAATTTCACTAATTGATTTTTTGGTACTAAGCTTCTTCAAAGAGATTCTTCTCACTATATGCAAAAACGTTATTTCCTAATAGAAAGTGGCCATCAGTTCAATACTTGGAAAACAGGTCGACACATCTACCTTCCACTCCATTAGCAACATCACAAATTGTAGCATGAACTTCTAGACTTACGGGGGTCACTAGAAAGAACCAATCCTCAAAAGGCGGAAGCTAAAACTATGAAAGATCAGTTTTAAGTAGAGTGTTTTTCTACCCCTAGTATGGGATGGCGAGGTGTGTTGCACCTCAAAATTTTCTCTCCCTTTTTTCCAACCTTGATTGGCTTATGCTTCATTTGCATCATCATTTATGCATTACATTGGTTCTAAGACATGGGATCAAGGTATTTTGGTTTTCTTCAAAATGAGGAGCTGATTCTCAAAGAAATAAGGAAGGAGATTTCTTTTACAACATGGTATTCTCAAGTTATAAGTGTCTCATATTTATCAAAGCATTCTCAACAAGTTCACTCAATCATCTGAGGATTAGGATTTCAATGGTTTCAATAAATTCATTTGATCAAGCTCCTAGTGGCTCTGAGCTAGGGTTTTGAGTCTAAGGCTACTTGTGGTTGTTTTCTTAAGCAATAAAAGGTTTTATGGTTCAACATACATCTCAAGGGTTCCACATATGTATTTTGGT